TTCTTCCTCCTCCTTTCTCCTTTTCCTCCTCCTCCTTCTCCCTCTCCCTCAGCCTCTTCTTCTTCCTCCTTCTTATTCTTCCTCTTCCTCCTTTTCTTCTTTTTCTCCTCCTTCTCCTTCCTCTTCCTCCTCCTCTTCTTCTTCTCCCTCTCCCTTGTCCTCTTCTTCCTCCTCCTTTCTCCTTTTCCTCCTCCTCCTTCTCCCTCTCCCTCAGCCTCTTCTTCTTCCTCCTTCTTATTCTTCCTCTTCCTCCTTTTCTTCTTTTTCTCCTCCTTCTCCTTCCTCTTCTTCTTCTCCCTCTCCCTTGTCCTCTTCTTCCTCCTCCTTCTTCCTCCTCTTCCTCCTCCTCCTCTTCTTCTTCCTCCTCCTCCTCCTTATGGAGCACACTTTACAGTAGTAGCTAAAATTGCAGAAACCTTTTGGGAAAAGTGTACAGTATTTTTGAGGTTTGATGGCTAATAACACCCCTTTTTTTGAATAATACCATAAGCCTATATATCAATAGAAAGATAATTTAATCAAGACTGTAATGCTTTATGAAATATTTGCTATTAGAAGCAGCTATGAAGAAGAAACATGAAACACATAGAAAAAAACGAGATATACAAAAATTATCACCATGTCAGTTAATATTTAGTTGGGTAACCTTTAGCATGAATTATGGCCTTACAATGGCTTCCCCGGGAGTGAACCAAGTATTTTAGTTCTACAGCTGTTATAATGTTAAACCAAGATTGAATGACTGCTTCTATTAACTGAGTTTTATTACTGGCTACACTCGGCTATAACTTTTCATAGAATACAGATAATTGAACAGACTTCGTTGCATTACATTCTTGATTAAACTATCTTTCCATTGATATATGATGTTATAGTAGTATTCAAAAAAAATGGTGTTATAAGCCTTCAAACCTCAAAAATACCCTTTCCCCCAAAAAAATTTCCACAAATTGGCCACTACAGTATACTCTGAAGTGGCGTCGAAGCAAATATCTCCATTTCCTACAGCAAAGGAGCGCTGGGGCTTTCTTTCTGATGGTGCTTTAGCACATAATCTATTGGAGCCCAGAATAATGTGATTCCCACTGCAACGTGCCACTGGAAGCATGCTTGCGCAGCAAACGCATAATATTCCTGACTCAGCACAACAGTAATGATCTGGAAACAGGAGGCGAGGCCCCCGGGAAGCCAAGAATTTCCCTTCCAACCTGGTGCAGCTTGCAACGAAAGCAGGAAGCTGACCGCCCACCACCGTACGTTGAGATGTCCACACAGTACAGGTAGTCCTTGATTTACGACCCGCCACCGAGCCCGAAATTTATGTTGCTAAGAGAAACATTTGTTCGGTGAGTTTTGCCCCCTATTACGACATTTCTTGCTGTTCAATTAGCGACCCGGTGGTCAAGTGAAGCCGGCTTCCCCATTGACTTTCCTTGTCAGAAGGTCGCAACTTCAAACGGTCACTAAATGGACTGTTGTAACTTGAGGACAACGTACGACCTACAGTTGAGCCCACGATTTGGGCCATAAATCAGGACAGTCGTAAACATGTGAACAGAATTTTAATGGCCTTTTTTGCAGCATTCATAAAAAGGGGGGGGGGGTAGTGGTTGTTTGCTCTGGCGCAGTTTTTACTAGAAATTTGACACATAATGCTGGTTTTATGGCAAAAACTGTCAATCATGGTCTCGTGATGGCGGGGCATTGCAAACAGCCATTAACGTGGGCCGTTTGCTGAGCATTCGAAATGTGGCCACACGAAAGGGGAGCAGAGAGGTCGTAACTTTGAATCTGAATTGTCAACCCCAGTTTTGGGGTCTGTGGTAATTTCACTGGTTTTGCAATTGGAGCCTTTTTTAGTTTTGAGGCTTAGCAAGTGGCTCGTGGTGGGCCAAGTATCGTATTTTTCAGAGTATGACGCACCTTTCCCCCCCCCAAAAAAAGAGGGTGAAAATCTGGGTGCGTCTCATACACTGAATGCAGCATTTTTGGCCTCCCAAAACCCCGCCTCACACATCCTGTTTTTTGCAAAAATGGATGGCCAGAGGATTTGGGACGCCTGCAAACTGCTCCTGGGGGCTGGGGAGGGCAAAAACGAGCAAAAAACGGGCCTGTTGTTTGCAAAAACGGGTGTTTTTCCCCTCCCCAGCCCTCAGGAACACTCTACAGCCTAGAAAACCCTCAGCACAACCTGTTTTTTGCAACAACAAAAAAAAAAACGGGCCCATTTTTTGCCGGGGAGGGCAAAAACTTTTTTTTAAATCTACCTCTTCAAAATCTTGGTGAGTGTTATACTTTGTTGAGTCTTATAGTCCAAAAAATACAGTAAATGTTTAACTGATAGAAGGCAGATGTGAGACAACAACTTACCTGCAATTATTCATGTTTTTGTTGGGATGACAGAAATTATTCTCAGTGCAAAGTTGATGCCTGTGATCTTCCTGCCTAAAGGAAGAAAGGAAATTTATTAGGACTTTAAAAAGGCGAACCGTTGCCATATATAAATTGGAATTCAACCCAATCTTAGATTTCCCACTTGTTGGCAAATTTTGGCACAAAGTGTGTCAATTGCTAATTGTTTTATACCTCAATGTCCAGGGCAGAAGGGATCTATCAGAAATTCATTTTTTTTGTAATGTATTTAAACAGTTCTTTTTTTTAAAAATCATCTTGAATTGTCACTGTTAATAGTTCAGAACTTAAAAGCAGACTAAAAATGTAGCTACTCCCTCCTCTAGGTCAAGAATAACATAGCAACTGTTCTTTGCTGCTAATTGTTGCTCAACAAATAAAAACGAGGAATTCACTTCCTCTGCATTTCAAGGTACTATATTCCTATTGTCACTTTCTTTTTTAATTTACCTCTCTAATTTAAGGTTTTGATTCAAAAAAGGTACACAGGTGGAAATATAGGTGACTCATCCCTGCTTTAAAATAGATCCTCTCTTAAAATACTCTCTCTTTTTTTGAAGATGGGGTGACTTTTACTATTTATTTCAAAAGGGATTAATCTGCTTTCCAGCGTTTAAGCCAATATATAAACAGCTTCAGTAAGTGTGAATGTGACTTTTGGAGTAGCGTTTTATCTTCCAATTTATGTCTCCTTTTTTTGATTCAGGATTTAGTTCCACTGAACCTGGTAAGGATTTGACTTCAAACGAATGTGCAAAAAGTACAGTATGTTGTTACAAGTCTGTGCTGCTGGAGTGCAGGGCATATTTTCAAATCAGCTTGTAAAGTCATCATTCAATATGTAGATTTGATCACTGCTGGCAAGCTAAATGAGACAGAAATACACGCAGATGGAGTTTTGTCTGCCATGAAGCATTAAACTGCACAGATAGTTGTGCTTCAGCATAATCAAAATAATACCGAGTAGAAAGAACATAACTCTAATTTTGGATATGAAATATTCATTGCGTTAGCAATAGCACATGTAATACAAGGCGCAGAATTGTTTTAATGCAGCTGCCAGTTCTTCAGTTGGCATTGGCCTTCGTACGCATCAATTTCTTCCCAGTGAACCTAAGGTAAAAGTAAACATTCCCATTGCACATATGTGCTAGTCATTCCTGACTCTAGGGGGCAGTGCTCATCTCCGTTTCAAAGCTGAAGAGCCGGCATTGTCCGAAGACGTCTCCGTGGTCATGTGGCCGGCATGACTAAACGCCAAAGGTGCACGGAACGCTGTTATCTTCCCACCAAAGGTTGTCCCTATTTTTCTACTTGCATTTTTGACGTGCTTTCGAACTGCTAGGTTGGCAGAAGCTGGGTCAAGTCACGGGAGCTCACTCTGTTATGCAGGCACTAGGGATTCGAACTGCAGAACTGCTGACCTTTCTGATCGATAAGCTCAACATCTTAGCCACTGAGCCAACGCATCCTTTCCCAATGAACCTAGGAGGTCATTAATGTATTGGCACAATACAGGTGGCAACTCCTGGGGAAAGGATACTGCAAAATCCCCATTCCCTCCCCACTCCTGGTGCAAAATCTCAATTCCCTCCCCAGCCACAGGTAGTATTTGCCAGTTCTCCGAACTACTCAAAATTTCCGTTTCCGGTTCTACAGGAGCTGTCAGAACCTGCTGGATCTCACCCCTGATTATCACCCATTCTTATTTTATTCAGATGATTTTTTTAATAGAAATTTTAAACTTAAACGTAAGAGAGCATTGCGGATGACAGGCTAGCCGAAATGAATGCATCGTATTAGAAATTAATAAAGGCATAAATAAATGCATATCTTGGCTTAGAAGATTCCCCAGAGATATTCTTATAAATTATACAAGGGTTATAAACTCAATTCTTACACTCGGTATAAAAGATTTCTTTTTGCATCAACTTGGCCTTGCAATTTCGGTTTTTTATGATGCTGTCACAGATCACAAGAAATGACAGCCTCAGTTGTGTTTTCTCATTTCACAAATGCTTCATCATTTTATGGCCTGCTATTCAACATGGTTTCTAATATTCCAATACAAAGTTACATTAATTATAAATAAATCAGTTTTGCTATATGTAGCGAAGTAAAAAATAAACCACAACAAACACGTCTATTGTTTTACTTGATACTATAGTCCCAATATTCATACAGATCCTGAATGCTGACACGAAGGTAGCAGTTTTAATCATTCTCGTTTGCAAAGTAAATTCCAGTTGTTGTTGTTGTTTTTTTTAAACCACTTTTTACTATGCCATCCCTTTGTTTTTTTTCACCATAAAGTGTATTTGGCCCGAATTTTCCATGTTTGCTTAAACATTGCACCATCCACATGTCTAAAACACGACTAACCCGCTATTCTTTTTATAGCATTTTATTCATTTTCATGCCTCAGGTAAAGAATTAATTGGGGCAAACGACTATTGGAGAGAGAGACATTAGCATTTATGGAAAATATAACATTTCACAACAAGGAGACCCGAAACCTCACGGATACCAAAACAAGCTTTGTTGCGTGGCTACCGTCCATCCTGAAATTCTGTAATAAAACTGGACATGATAACAGGTGCACTGTAAAACTGTTTATACCTCTATCTCGGAATATAATCTGAAATATTCTGTGATAGCTATGAAGCCTTCCAACCCATTTGAAGGAACCCATTTTGGCCTTTTATCTTGAGAGGTGATTAATTGTCCCATTAACGAAATCTAGCGATTACAATTAAATCCTATTTCTGTTTCTTATTTTTTAATTTATTTCATTTTTCCAAGCTTTTTTTGTTGCTCTGTTTTAATCGTAATTTAATTCATATATCAGTTTAGATTAGCAGGACTGCTGGCTTCTGTGGGGCTTTTATTTTGCGTTATATTGGGTTTTCCTTGACGATAAAGATGCTCTCCATTCAATCCTGTCCGATTCTTGGTGATTCTATGGATCCCATACAGGGGTTCTATTGGGTAGCTTTTTATTTTTATATATAAAATCCCATACAGGGGTTTTACTGGGTTAATTAGATAGCTTTTCTTTTTATTTATATCTCTATGGATGCCATACAGGGGTTTTATTAGATAGCCTTTCTTTCTTTCTTTCTTTCTTTCTTTCTTTTTCCTTCTTTCTTTTTCTTTCTTTCTTTTTTCTTTCTTTCTTTTTCTTTCTCTCTCTCTCTCTCTTTCTTTCCTTTCTTTCTTTCTTTCTTTCTTTCTTTCTTTCTTTCTTTCTCTCTTTCTTTCCTTTCTTTCCTTTCTTTCTTTCCTTCCTTAATTGTATCTCATGCCTTTATTGTTTTTATAAATAACTCAAGGTTGCAGACCTAGTATTCCTCCCACCTAATGTCAATGTGAAGGAATCCCTTCCTCCCACTATTATTACTTTTTTTTTTAATTATGTATTTATTGTCAACCACAAAAAAGATCATTGGTTCCTACACCCCACTCAGAGGGACATGGCCGTTTTTAAAAAAAATGATAAATAAAATGTGGAATGCACAAAATTCCGCCTATATTTTATACATTATTCACATTATCTATGCCATATAGAACGTTAGATAACGCTAGT